ATATCTTGTATGAAGCCTGCCCGTATTTCAAATTCGGATATGAATCTGCAAATGGAGCTATAGCTGAAGCTGTGAAGAACGAGAGTTTTGTGCACATTATTGATTTCCAGATTTCTCAGGGAGGTCAATGGGTGAGTTTAATCCGTGCTCTCGGTGCTCGTCCTGGTGGACCTCCGAAAGTTAGGATAACGGGAATTGATGATCCAAGATCATCGTTTGCTCGACAAGGCGGACTTGAATTAGTTGGTCAAAGACTCGGGAAGCTAGCGGAAATGTGCGGTGTGCCGTTTGAGTTTCATGGAGCTGCTTTATGTTGCACGGAAGTCGAAATCGAGAAACTAGGAGTTAGAAACGGAGAAGCGCTTGCGGTTAACTTCCCGCTCGTTCTTCACCACATGCCTGATGAGGGCGTAACGGTGGAGAATCACAGAGATAGATTGTTGAGACTGGTCAAACATCTGTCGCCGAATGTCGTGACTTTAGTTGAACAAGAAGCGAATACAAACACCGCGCCGTTTCTTCCCCGGTTTGTCGAGACAATGAACCATTACTTGGCGGTTTTCGAATCGATCGATGTGAAACTCGCTAGAAATCACAAGGAAAGGATCAATGTTGAGCAGCATTGTTTGGCTAGAGAGGTTGTGAACCTTATAGCATGCGAAGGGGTCGAAAGAGAAGAGAGGCACGAGCCACTAGGGAAATGGAGGTCTCGGTTTCACATGGCGGGGTTTAAACCGTATCCGTTGAGCTCGTATGTGAACGCAACGATCAAAGGATTGCTTGAGAGTTATTCAGAGAAGTATACCCTTGAAGAAAGTGATGGAGCATTGTATTTAGGATGGAAGAACCAACCTCTGATCACTTCTTGTGCTTGGAGGTAACAAGCAAAACTCTGCTTGGTTTTGAGAAGTTCCGAGAGATTAGAATATGTTTGTAAAAGTAAAAAACTCAATGATCCGATGAAACAGTTGTCGAAATGTTGTACTAGTAGTAAGCGTTGTTGATGACCCCCATATGTTTAAAGTTTTATGTTTCTATATTTTCAAAAAAAACTATGATTTGACATCAAACTTGTAAGTTACAACTCTTTGTTCGATGTGAAAACTTAAATGATAATTTTATCTGGTTTTTACATAATAGTAAGGTATTTACTTTTTGGTCATGTCCTTATTTTTGTTTGGTAGGATTGGTTATGTCGTTATTAAGCAGAAGACAAGGATAATGATGATTCTGCGTGCGTGTTTTTTTAAGCAATCATTAAGTTGATGTAATACCAGACATCTCTATTTGATTAATCCGTATGTCATAAATAGTCAAAAGCGTTTACTACCAATTTGAAGGTGTTAAAAACTTTAGGAAGGAGATGAGAATAAATCAAACTTGTAACCAGTTATTAACTGATATTGGTTGTAACCAGTTATTAACTGATATTGGTAAACAGAAACATAGTACTTATATAGTAATCACCTAACCATCGTTTTAAGGTTTAGTTATGAATCTATTTAGCGGCTACAGTACAACAAAGCAGCTAGGAAAAGGGTGGTAAGAGATATAATTTTGCTGTATATATAGAAATCAACCCAACAAAGTTTGCTGTTTGGTTGTACGCTATGGTTTGAGATGGAACAAAGATCTATAATGCTATTCCTATATTAAAGGAACAAATTGTTCCAGTGAAACCAATGAAAGGTAATGAACAAAGAGAAGATGACATCAAACCGAAGTACCAGGAAATGGAGAAGGGAGCGAATGGTGGAGGCAAACCACCCAAACCAAAGATTGATAAATGAAGGTTTTGAGTTGGAATTGCCAAGGGCTAGGGAATAAGGCAACTATCGGATACCTTCGGGACTTATGGAAGCAACATCGGACCGACTTTTTATTTCTTTCGGAAACTAAGCAATTGTCATGTTTTTTAGAAAATTTTCAAGGTCATTTCGGTTATAATAATCTAATCACGGTTGATCCGGTTGGTTGTACTGGTGGTTTGGCACTTTTTTATAATAATAATATTTTTAATGTTTCGATTTTATTCAAATCTAATCGTCTGATAGATATTGAAACGGTATTTAAAGGTAAAACAATATATTTAACTTTTATTTATGGTGACCCGGTCCCCAAACGACGTGATCAAGTTTGGGAAAGATTAACACGAATGGGTTTAAATCGCGATTTACCTTGGTTTATAATCGGTGATTTCAATGAACTAACGGGTAATCATGAGAAGAGGGGAGGTAAATTACGGCACGCATCATCTTTTTTAGATTTTAACTCGATGATAAGAAATTGCGGATTTATTGAGTTTCCATATATTGGGGACTGGTTATCATGGCGAGGCTGGCGCGATAAAAAACCTATTCGATGTCGGTTAGATAGGGCACTTGGGAATGAAGACTGGCATGAGTTGTTTTCGGATACTATTGTGGAATATCTACCTATGCTTGGGTCAGATCATAAACCAATAGTAGCTTCCATTGCGGAAAAACAAATTAGGAAAAGGCGATGTTTTATGTTTGATAAACGATGGATTGGTAAACAGGGACTAATGGAGGCAATAGATGATGGATGGACTGACATACCAGGGAGGGGGCCCAGGACTTTTATGGATAAGGTGATCAACTGTCGCCGTTCCATTTCACAATGGAATAGAGAGCAAAAAGCTTTTGGTAGAGATACTATTGAAGAGTTAAAAGAAAAGTTGGCGGCTGCACAGGCCGACGACACGAGTTTACCTTCGGAGATATATGATTTGTCGGCTAGGTTGCGTACAACGTATGAGGAAGAGGAGGTATACTGGCAACAAAAAAGTCGAAACCGGTGGATGCGGGTGGGTGATAAAAATACCAAATTTTTTCACGCGCAAACAAAGACTCGTCGGGCTCGGAATCGGATTGCGGGTTTATTTGATAAACATAATAATTGGATTACTGAGGACAAGGATATTTGTGGTGTGGCTACAACCTATTTTGAGGATCTGTTTACCACGACCAATCCCCAAGATTTTGAGGATGGGCTTAGAGAGGTTGCGGTTGGTATCACAGATGATATCAACAACTTTTTAACAGCCCCGGCAACGGAGAAGGAATTTCGTGCCGTTTTGTTTATGATGTTTCCCGATAAGCCTCCAGGGCCAGATGGGATGACATCTATGTTTTTCCAAAAAGCATGGAGTGTCATAAAGGAGGACTTGGTTAATTTGGTTAATTCGTTCCTGACGTCAGGTGTTTTTGATAAACGGTTAAATCAGACAAATATTTGTCTCATTCCAAAGGTTGACAGGCCTACTAGAATGACTGACCTACGCCCTATTAGTCTGTGTAATGTGGGATACAAAGTAATTTCTAAAGTTCTTTGTCAACGGTTAAAAACGGTCCTTCCGAAACTTATATCGGAGACGCAATCTGCTTTTGTTGCAGGACGGTTGATTTCAGATAATATTTTAATAGCTCAGGAGATGTTTCATGGGCTTCAGACTAATCCCTCTTGTAAGAACAAGTTTGTATCAATTAAAACAGATATGAGTAAGGCATATGACATGGTGGAGTGGATTTTTATAGAACGTTTACTCCGGAAATTTGGTTTCTCCGAGAAATGGATTTCGTGGATTATGTTTTGTGTAACCTCGGTAGAGTATAGGGTTCTCATCAATGGTCAGCCGCAAGGTTCCATCCGTCCGGAAAGAGGATTGAGACAAGGTGATCCACTATCTCCATACCTATTCATACTCTGTACGGAGGTCTTAATTGCAAATATCCGAAAGGCCGAGAATGATAAACTTATAACGGGGATCAAGGTTGGGAATAAATGTCCAGCAATTTCGCATTTATTATTTGCGGATGATAGCTTGTTTTTCTGTAAATCAACTAAAGAGGAGTGTACAATTGTTTTGGAGATCCTCAGAGCTTATGAAAAGATGTCAGGTCAACAAATAAATTTTGACAAATCGTCACTCCAATTTGGTCATAAAGTGGATGCAGCGGTGAGAACTGAGGTTCAAGAGACTCTAGGAATGGTGAAGTTAGGGGGGATGGGTTCATACCTCGGTTTACCGGAAAGTCTAGGAGGAGCTAAAACTCAGGTTTTTTCCTTTGTACGCGATAGGCTAAATACCCATATAAATGGGTGGTCGGCCAAATTACTATCTAAAGGAGGCAAGGAAGTTATGATTAAGTCAGTGGCATCAGCATTGCCGACCTATGTGATGTCTTGTTTTCGTCTTCCCAAGTCGATTACGTCTAAACTGACAAGTGCAGTGGCAAAGTTTTGGTGGAGTTCAAATGGTTACTCTGGGGGAATGCACTGGCGAGCATGGGATAAATTGTGCTCTATCAAGTGTAGTGGTGGGTTAGGCTTCCGCGATGTAAATGATTTCTATACAGCGCTGTTAGCAAAGCAGCTTTGGAGGTTGATTGATTACCCAAATTCCCTGTTTGCAAAGGTGTTTAAGGGCAGTTACTATAGGAATGCAACTCCAATGGAACAAGTCAAATCGTATTCCCCATCGTATGGATGGAGGAGCATGGTATCAGCTAGATCTCTGGTTATGAAAGGGCTCATTAAAAGAGTTGGGACAGAGGATTCTATATCCGTTTGGACATATATGATATGAGTAAGGCATATGACATGGTGGAGTGGATTTTTATAGAACGTTTACTCCGGAAATTTGGTTTCTCCGAGAAATGGATTTCGTGGATTATGTTTTGTGTAACCTCGGTAGAGTATAGGGTTCTCATCAATGGTCAGCCGCAAGGTTCCATCCGTCCGGAAAGAGGATTGAGACAAGGTGATCCCTATCTCCATACCTATTCATACTCTGTACGGAGGTCTTAATTGCAAATATCCGAAAGGCGGAGAATGATAAACTTATAACGGGGATCAAGGTTGGGAATAAATGTCCAGCAATTTCGCATTTATTATTTGCGGATGATAGCTTGTTTTTCTGTAAAGCAACTAAAGAGGAGTGTACAATTGTTTTGGAGATCCTCAGAGCTTATGAAAAGATGTCAGGTCAACAAATAAATTTTGACAAATCGTCACTCCAATTTGGTCATAAAGTGGATGCAGCGGTGAGAACTGAGGTTCAAGAGACTCTAGGAATGGTGAAGTTAGGGGGGATGGGTTCATACCTCGGTTTACCGGAAAGTCTAGGAGGAGCTAAAACTCAGGTTTTTTCCTTTGTACGCGATAGGCTAAATACCCATATAAATGGGTGGTCAGCCAAATTACTATCTAAAGGAGGCAAGGAAGTTATGATTAAGTCAGTGGCATCAGCATTGCCGACCTATGTGATGTCTTGTTTTCGTCTTCCCAAGTCGATTACGTCTAAACTGACAAGTGCAGTGGCAAAGTTTTGGTGGAGTTCAAATGGTTACTCTGGGGGAATGCACTGGCGAGCATGGGATAAATTGTGCTCTAGCAAGTGTAGTGGTGGGTTAGGCTTCCGCGATGTAAATGATTTCTATACAGCGCTGTTAGCAAAGCAGCTTTGGAGGTTGATTGATTACCCAAATTCCCTGTTTGCAAAGGTGTTTAAGGGCAGTTACTATAGGAATGCAACTCCAATGGAACAAGTCAAATCGTATTCCCCATCGTATGGATGGAGGAGCATGGTATCAGCTAGATCTCTGGTTATGAAAGGGCTCATTAAAAGAGTTGGGACAGAGGATTCTATATCCGTTTGGACGGACCCTTGGATTCCAGCTCAATTGCCGAGACCAGCTAAGAGTAATGGATCAATTATGGATC